AAGACTTAAAAACCTGTTTAAAATCCTTCCCAAGATTGATGAAATGAAAAAAATTAAGTCCTTCACTAATCTAAGAAAAACTACCTTGAAAATGTCTACTATTTAGGTACGTTTTACATCTTCCAGTAATAGACAACTATCTACTTTTTACTTTATTTATATTTATAATATACAGAGTGTTACTAAATTCATGTCACAACGCTTGAGGGGTGAAAGTACAAATAAAAAAAAACATTTTTTACCAATACACATGGGGGCGGAAACGAACCCCTAACCCGTTGGAACGCGCGATGAATTCAGGGTAGGCAACCCGTTGACTCCTAAAAGCCGTGGTTTACGGCCAGTGCAAACCGTTGAAGAGCTCACTGAAAGAATTATGTAAGCGTTTGATGAGATACGAGCTTCCCCAGGCAAGTTGCAAAGGATAAAAGAAAACATGATTCGCCGTTGCCACTTGTGCGTCGATCAAGGTGGTCGTCATTTCGAGCCCTTGCTCTAAAATGTGTTATCGGTTTACAGAACTGTTAATAAACCGTTGTTTAATTGAACTGTTGTTGTTTTAAACAAAATCCCAACGTTTGTTCTTAAACGTAGCGGCCAGCGTAGTAAAAGATGTGCACAACGGGTTGCCTACCCTGAACGAGTACGGTGTACTCGGAACGTAATGATCGGATCGACTTGTAACAAACGGCATTTTTCTTAGATTTTCGCGCGCTATCCGACGGTATACCGCCAATGCGATGATTTATTAACACCCTGTATATGCTTTTTAACTACGAGGCGTGTTTTTAAAGTAAGTACCGTTTTAATTTTTTTCCGCCGCAGCGCTGCAGTTGTGATTTTGAGCATGCGCGATCACTTCCTCCATTCATTAGGAAGCCAGACGAGAGGTACGAGCGATCACCATTTTGTCTTTTCCTACTGTTAGAGCGTTTCGAAATGTTCAAGACAATCGAACGACCCGCCGACTGTGAAGTCAGATCAGTGATTAGGTTTTTGAATGCGAGAAATGTTACGCCAGCAAACATTCATCGCCAATTGTGTGAGCAGGGAATATTATATTTAGTTACATTAAGATTAATCTTTATAAATATATGACATTTATTTCCGGAGATTAACTTTATATCTTAGAAATGGCCATTTCGTTGGATCGAAATTTACTTCTAGTTGATTCACGTTGCATCATGCAATATGGCTGTGATATGACTGAATATATCGACTTTTTTTCTCTCAGTGTAGGTGGGATCATTATCGTCAGTGAATTCACGTGTTTTCAAAATCGCTGAACGTTATGAGATTCGTAATATGATGAAAAATGATTTTAAAAAATGCGACATGTCGATACTGAAGCGACAACGGCATCCTATCTCGCGGTGTTAAAGCATTGACCACTTCTCTCCCTTTATTTCATTTATAATATTATTGTCCGACAGTGCATGTATTTACCCGGCTTCATGTGATAAAATTGTGTCGCCTTTCTGTTTACAAATATTTTATTATCGAAATATACAATAGTAAGAAATAGCGTGAGAAATAAGAAAATTGTTATTTTAGCCATTTGGTTTTTTTTAATATGTTCTTTCTTTCTTGTGTTTAAATTGAAGATTTAAAGCTTTAGAAGAGTCATAAAAGTAGAAAGTTCTTATGTTCTATAACCTTCAGGTTTACTACCTGTTTCTTACAAGGTCCACAATAATCGCTTTAAATCTTGTCGACATAAATCAGGATTTTTGTCTCGAAAAGAAAAGTAAAATGAGATAAAGGTTCTTCGTTTTTGTGAAATTTTGAAATTTTCAAGCATTGTCAGACTGTTTTTCAAAACTAGCGGCTCCAAATTGCCATTGTTGCACCGTGTATTACAAATCGCGTGATGAAGCTCACGCAGTATTAAAAACTTTCCGTGAAAGAGACGAGGAGGAAGTTTATTTATTATTTGATACTCGATAATGACATTAAATCAGGTTGCCCTCCGAATCCTCACTCCTCACAGTCCTCACACGGTTCCTCCCGCGTTCGGATCCCTGATGGTGAAATTTGTTCCGCTTACATGTATATATGAGACTGTAGAAGTGCAGAAAGACCCTTTCATGACCATTTCGAATGCTAAAGCTAAGAGCTGGCCTACCTGAGTTCATTACATTACCTGATATCCTAGTTTAGGGTCATGTTTTCACAGATACCGTTACGGTCAGACAGGTAACACGATGTTTCACAGAAAGTTTTCGGGTATTTGTAGTTGTGCATTTCATTCTTTTGTCTAATAATATGTCACTGTATATATCCGTAAACAAAAGCTTAACATCTCGCATAATGGACTATATTTCAGAAATTTTTCATAAAACGTCGGACAACCTTTCTGACTACGACTGTAGGTACATCATGGAAAGAATACATTAGTTTTTTTTTCTTTAAAAATACTTTTATAAATATTTTCTATCTGTTTCTGTAAACTCATGTAAAGAAAGTTTATAACAAATAGACGTTAACAAATCGCGTATATGACAGAGTAAAATCGAGCTAAGATACGATACGTATAAAAAAAGTAGTGTCGTTTTATCACAGCATCATAAAAATAACGAAACATCATCATCAAATAGACGTCAATACACGAACGAAGTGAAATTTACTTACAATTATTACGTCATCGATATTGAATTTAAAAAAGGGGGGGAGTTTGACATCCATCTCTGGGCGTCAATCGAAGAAACTGTGTTGGACGGCACGTCTGACGGATGTCGTGTGTTGACTTATGATGATTTCTTGTAAGTTGCAATGTTTCCCAAAAATTTGTAGATTAATTTTCTTGAAAAGGATCACAACCAGCATGATCAAAACGTCGGAATTTAAATAAACCATATGCCAGCCTAATGTCGTTTAACAATTATTTCTTTCGTTAATTAATTACTGGCAATTACCATATTCTTTCGTTGTCATAAAAATAATTATCCTTGTTCAAAATAATAATTACAAAAAATAGTGAAAAGTGATTTTGAAATGTTAACGAGTGTATATCAAATACATAATATTTTTTAAACGTTTCTACATTATTTTTTGGAAAACGCGAAATATCGAAAGTACAATATATTTATGGAGTTAGGGTCACCAGAAAATTTATGAACAATGACAAGGGATATTCTCTAAAGTTTTTGGAAAGTAAAAATACTGCCATGGAAATATTTACCCTATTGGAGTGAATATTTACGCCAACAGAGTATATTTCTATACTCCAATAAAGTAAACATTTCACCCCATGGTAGTATTTTTACTAAAAAAATTTTAGAGAGTAAGCAATAACGAAACATTTTTAACTATGTTAGAAAATCTTTTCTTGCTTCAAAAGTGAAAGAATTCTGTATACAAATTCTTTGCTACCTAAAATACCTCCAACTCTAACAATGTGGGCGACCTTTTCCGTTATTTCACAATCCTATTCATATTATAATAAGTAAAGTCATTTATCTTATTCAAATAGGTACAAAATCTGTATAATGTTCACAGCACTACTTTTCCTATTGAATTCCTCACGAGCCAACCAGAATTTAGCGTTACCTGATCTAGAATTTTACAATTTTTGTTTATTCTTGTAAGCAATCGAGTAGGAAAAATAGAATCGTATACCATTGGCTTACGCTCATCTTATTTCAAGCATAGTATACTATGCAGTTTGTAAAAAGAATTCTTTCGCGAGCATTTGTCGTATTTATTTAATATTAACGTAATTAACATATAAGTCTCTTTCTCCCCGCATACAAGATACAGTGAAAACAAGAAAAACAAGGAGATCGTAGAAAAGTGAGGCGTCAATAAAACTATTGTTACAAAGCTCACGAGCCCAAGTACAATACACAATACGCAATACATAAACTTCATGAATATATATAGACATATATCAATATACCTGACAAATAGATTTATTAGCGCCAGTAATATAAAACCAATGATATAGTTTTTCGAAACGACCTATACTGGTCAATGTTTTTATTTAAAAAAACCAACGACGTTTCGGTCCCGGATTTGGACCCTTTTCAAGTATTCTGCAAACGTACATAACTTGACACATGTTTTTAAGTAAAAAATATAGCGCAAATAATTATAGCGAAAGTAATCTCGCGATAAAACATTGCTATAATGTTGCCTTGCTGTGCTGTATGGGATGTAAGACGCGTCACAATTCTTACATCGCTATAATTATTTGCGCTATATTTTTTATTTAAAAAAACTTAGTGTTAAGTTATGTACGTTTGCAGAATACTCGAAAAGGGTCCAAATCTGGGACCGAAACGTCGTTGGTTTTTTAAATAAAAACTTGGCTAGTGTATAGGTCGTTTCGAAAAACTATATTATTAATATCAATCTAGCTTGAACTTGCATATATTTCTTTTCTAATCATAGGGGACCATAACCATTTTCTCCGTGTAAGAATGACCCAAGGAATATTCCAAATATTCTTGAAGAAGTGCGCTTTTATTTTTAAATAAAATATTGCTAGGCGCGTCGAATAATTATCCACTACCTTTAATATTAGCAAAGCTCTTTCGGTAGCCGACATAGACATAGGCCGGTATTCATAGTCGATTCTTATTTCAATATCATCTTGAGTGTTTTAAGAGGCTGATACGGCTCTGTGATTGGTTAAAAATACATTAAGAGTACACTTAAGATGATCTTAAATATAAGAACGAACTATGAATACCTCGTAAATATAAACCGAGTTTCCCCATTGAATAAGCTGAAGCTTGTAAAGAGAGAGACAGAGAAGATTTAAGAAGACTCTCTGTCTCGCCATTGTGACAAGGGAGAATCGCGCTTGTGTAGTACCTACCGTACCTACTGTGCAGGCACGATTCGTTTCTTTCACGATAGTGTAAAGCCAACGGTACACGATACTATTTTTCCTACTGGATTGCTTACGAGAGCCAATCAGGACGCAGAGTTTTCGATCAGGTGACTCAAAGCTGAATCCTGGTTGGCTCTCGTAAGGAATCCAGTAGGAAAAATAGTATCGTGTGCCGTTGGCTTAAGACAGAGAAAAAGTGTTCTTAACTCTTCTCTCTCTCTCTCTCTCCCCCCCTCTCTCTCTCTCTCTCTCTCTCTTCCCCTCCAGTTTGCTTTTACTATGTCTATACTTTGGTTTACACCAATCACTTGACACGCCTATGAAATAGTGTATTCCAGACGATCAACCAATGACAAAATCCATTTACTAGTCGTTTGCTATTCGATACGCGTCTGGAACTATTGATGTAAACTAGGCCTATGGTAACCGAGGACTTTTCTCGCTTGGCTCGGGAGCCGCGGGGAGCGGGACAGGCGGCGCCGCTCCTGGCGAGCTGGCGCCAGTGGTGGGGGGCGCTGGGAGGTCTCTCCGAAGTTAGATGGTAGATAGGCGAGTGCGAGGCACTCAGTCGCGTTTGACCTGCCGTAAGGTGAGTTGCGTACGCACAAGTCTGCCGGCTGACCGTGCGCGTGTCTATACGAGAGAGAGAGAGAGAGAGAGCGAGTAAAGTGCCGAAGTTCGCGTACGCGCCGAGAATGAAATTCATCCTTCGCCCGATACAATACGACAGTGGCAGCAGAGGCAGCAACCGCGACGTCTGTGGTAATAGTAGTAGTAGTTGTAGTAGTTGCGGTGGTCACGGCAGTACATCGGTTCGACGCGGCGCCATAAGTGACAGTGAGACTAGATTGCACGTGAGGTCGCAGATACGACAGGACCACCGGATATTATAATAAGCGCTTCCGTCTTTTCTTTTCCCTCGCTGCCTTAGCGAACGCGCGCAGAACACACACAACGTACGTCTGGTACTCGCAGGACTTGACGGAGAGGGCCCCGACCGACTCGCGGGTGTCGCACGCGTGCGGGCCACGCAAGAGTTTTTTTTTTCTTCTTTTCTACGCTCGCGACAGGCGTCGGGTTGCGCGGAGCTACGGGGGGACAGAGGCCGCAGTAAATAGGGCGCGCGAGAGAGGATCCCGGGGGAGGGATACGGCGACGGAGTTCGTATCGCGACTGGAGTGTCTTCCCGCTCGGATCCAAGTGATTCCAAGTGAAGTGAGCGCTTATATCGGATAATTGCAAGTTAAAACTGTTGGTGCCGGCTTGTGCACGCGGTGTGTGTGTGTGTGTGCCCACCCCCACGTTCGAGATACACTCACGAGGACCCTTACCGAGACAGAAATGGAGACGACTATGCTGCTGCCCACCCTGCCCTCGATTGGGCAGTCGTGCGACCCAAGAACGCGCTACTTTACAAAATTAATCGAGTTATATGACGAAAGATATAATAAGTTATATGACGATCGATCGCTCGCGATCGACTGTTTGACCAATGTGTGCAAGCTCGGTGCCGCCGATGTGCTTGCGCAGCTGCACGATCTGAAGAAGGATCTACGGAAGCAGGGCGATCTGCGAGATCAGTACAGGCAGATAAATGGCTTGGACGAATCGAATTACAAGTCGCAGCAAGCTACGAGTCTTCCCGGAAATGAAGGTTCTTATAATTGCCCTTAAATCCTTAAATTCTTGCTTCCCTCGCTAACTCCGTTGGAATCTGGAATTTGCGATGTGTAACGCTTGTGAGACGGTTCCTCGACTCTCTCTCTCTCTCTCTCTCTCTGCTCAATTCAAGCTCTCGACCTCTCGCAGATGTTGGTTGTACATATTAATCGGGCGCGAAAAACGAATTGCAAGGGACACTAATCGATCGATCGCTTCTCGCGGAAGAGTTGACGCCTCGTGGCGGCGTGTATGTAACTCATTCGGAGCGTCGCCGCCCACGCGACGCTCTCGAGATTGCAAGAGAGGGTCCGAGGTTCTATCTTTAGCTTTAGTCGCGACTAGGAGGTAGAGGGAATGTCGCGACAACGATTGTTCGCGCGGACTGCCGGAAGTCGGAGTACCGGACTTCTATCGTGAATCCACGCTTTGACGGGCGAACAATCAATCAATATGACGATATCGGACGGGGAATATGGATGTAACCGGGCCACTTGCTCCTCGAGACGTCTCTGATCCTTCTGACCTTAGGGTTAAAGGACAGTCACGTGTTCAACCGTGCAAGTAGA